TTGACCTTCACTACCATTGTCAATTTAAACCCTTTACTACCAATGTTAACTTTAACCCTTCACTACTATGTCAACTTTGACCCTTCACTACTATGTCAACTTTGATCCTTCACATCCACTTCCATGAGTCCTTGGAAAGTGTGGTTATGATTTGATTAGCCTAATTTGCATATTAAAATGGCTACTTCCATCTTGCCCTAACTTTATTCAATCAGTATAACTAATTGAATCATCAAGAAACATTGGGTTTAGGAAAGCGTAATTTAGGATTATGTTTATGAGCATGTTTCCTTTTAAGTTCGGAGTACAACTTTTCTTAACTCAGTTGCCATGGAAACATTGTTTTGGACAGTACTTAAACTTTTGTGTTTATTTATACTTAAATTGTACATATAGAGCCAATTTTGGAATATTTAAATATTTATTAACTGCACCAGTGCGAATACGTTCACAGTTAGAATGTTAAGTATTGTATATATGTGTAAATTAATGTCTGTATATTAGTAATAGAACTTGCAGGGGGGAAAAGCTAGCATCTTCAAAGTTGGCACACTTACAAGTTGAAAGATTAAATATTTAACGCTTTACAAGAGTTAACAAACTGGTCACATGACATGAAAAATAATGTACAGAAAAATAGAGACTTTGAAAAAACTTTTACGTAAAGCACAACATGATAGTTTTGGGCAATCACATGTGAGTTTGTAACCTTCTGACCCGTGATAATGGAGCCCTTAAGATACAAGGATACAAACATTTATGGTAATTTCAAATAGCCTTCTGCCAGCACATCACCACTGGCACCGTCATCGTGGAATGTAATCATGTTGCACAACACTTTAAGATCATACGTTTTTGTTGTGTGAGATGCCTCTAGAAAGTATGATTTTGCACATACATGTACAAGCCTTCCAGGGCCCATATGGACAATGTAGCTGGCTAGATAAGTGTATTACCACTCAACATGGCAAATGATCATTAGTGTGGTTGTGGTGTTGGGCAGTGGTAGTCTGTAGGTACTATCAATTATCTGAGAGAGTTGTCCGAGCGTCAAATATTATCTGTTCAAACAGGGAATGAATACCAATTGGTGTTGTCCCAACTGATTGACATCACATCTCATCACCTGGCACAGGGTTACAAGTCACATACATCAGTCTTTCAGTGTTCAGTATTGTGGCAAACAGATTGATGCCTGGTTCCGGTCAAACTCGAACAGGGTTTTAGTGATGTAAAAGAAGATTAGATCTGCTACTCTGCTATTACACTTGTTCTGGGTCTGCTATGGTGTGGTGAATTTCCCTGATGTACCTGCACACGAATGAATCTCATCCTGAACACACCAGGCGATTTTAAAGAAAAAAATTGCAGAGGTTGGCATCTCCAAATGTTGTCTAGTTAGTTCATTGTTTATTCATGTTGAAGAAGTTACTGTTTTATTTCAAAATATTTGTCTGAACAGCAAGTTACAACTAGTGACCAATGTTCTAGCAATTGTCGAGTATTTCAGCATTTTACAGGCCGCAGTGATGTCATCATGGCATCATAATCTAGTACTTCAGTTCGTTGAAAGATGAAGTGCCGTCATTAATTACATAATACAATTACAATCCTTGTTTGATCAACATTTAAAATCGAACAATCTTAACCATTAACGAAGCTCTTCAGTTATTTTGCAGCATGTTAATGTTTTACCTTGTGCAATGGGACCAATAACAAAAACAGCACAGCGCCTTGCAATATATAAATAAAAAAATACTGGATGGCTTTATCATGCAATACAGAATGTTTTTGCGTGTTGCTGTAATTACTTACATATGGTTAAAATTATATTGTTCACAAACAATAAGAAATTTTAAAGTAGCTTCTGTGCAGCTAGTGGTACAAACTTTTCAGATTACTTTTATGTTATCATTTGGGTAGATCTATTGTACTTTACTTATTTTTCAGAATTGTACATATATTTTGTAATTGATGTTTAATCGTTTTTTAATCTTCACTAGAAATGTGATGATTTTTAATAATGAATTTTCGATGAAATATCTGTTATAGAAATGTATTTATTAGGTTCATTAATAATGATTACCTCAGTACTACTTAGCATGATTATGTTCATAGCTGTATATGAATTAAATTTTATTTCGTGAATTTGTAATTGTATGGACAATTGTGTGAGACTGCATTTTCTCTTATTTGCAAACAATCTTGTAAAAATGATTACATTTTTACAATCAAAGTGTGTTTGCTCGTGTCTTTCGACAACACTTCCCTTGATTTTGACTCAAGCACGCTTGCAATGTGCGTAATGCGGGGGAAAAAATCACAGTAATTTGTGATGTTTGC